TAAATAAATAAATAAATAAATAAATAAATAAATAAATAAATAAATAAATAAATAAATAAATAAATAAATAAATAAATAAATAAATAAACTCATGTTTTATGGTTTGGATTATTAGACCTGATAGACTGTAGAAAGAGGAGGATTTTCTTTTAAGCATAAAGAGGTAAATTTATAATTGCATTTACAACTGCTTTAAAGAAAATTAGAAGCACAACTTCTTTAAAGAAAATTGGAAGCTACTTTTTGGTATTTCAGGGGTGGGCTCAGGGGTGGGCTTCAAAATTTTTAGCAAGGGGTTCTCTGCCCGGTTGCTGGGTGGGTGTGGCCATGGTGGGTGTGGGCTAGTCAGCCTCCTGCACCATGATGGGGGGGAGGTTGCCCTCCCTGAGCTCCAGAGGCTTTCCTTGAGGATCTGGGAGGGTGAAAATGGCCTCTCCCAGGCTCCGGAGGCCCTCTGGAGGCCAGAAATGGGCCCTTTTCCAGCATTCCCAAACTTCCGGTAGCCTGTTTTTCACCCTCCCCGAGCCTCTGAGTGCACCCTGTACTTACCTGCATTCCAAATGGGCATATGGGGATTCCTGGGAGGGGTAGGTGGGGTCAGCCAGGAGTGGGATTTGGGGGTTCTCTGAACTGCACAGAATCTTAGCTAGAGGTTCTTCTGAACCCCTGCGAACCCCCAGTAGCCCACTCCTGATTTAGCTTTCTCTTTGATTTCTTTCTTTTTCTAGTTTGTATTGGATTTTATCTTCCTTTAAAGAAAAATCTATATGTACAGTATATGTATATGTTCAGTATGTACAATGTGTACCCACACTCCACATTCGAATAGCTAAAGAGCAGCAATTCTATTGCATTTTGTTATTGTACCATCCTTTGTTCATACTATACATAGCAACTAGCCATTATATCTCATAGTGCCTTGATTCTTGGATCAAGTATCAATAAACACATTTTCTGTCAGGAAGTAAGCTCTTACAAAATTTAATGATGAAATTCTAATTACAGGGTTTTTAAATTGTTTTAGCACATATTCAGAACACAAGACAAAATAACTTTAGCAAGTTTCAAAATTAGGATGAAGCAAGTTATAAATACAATTCCTGGAACACATGAAAATCAGTTTTCAAATATGACCACTATTACTGTACAACTTCAAAACATTACTTTGTTGTAGAAATATGGGTCTTGATACACCTGGATGATCAGGTTTCTTTGGCTTACATTCCTGTTTTTTATTGGAAAGTACCTAGAACGCATTAAACCTCTTGGCTACCCCTTGACACCATGAACATCTTTCAACCTTGTAATCACAAAGAACCTTAGAGATCAATGCATGTTCTAGTATCTGAAGAGAAGAACTTCCTAGATCTGGTGAAATTTATATGACTCAGATTTAAATCTAACAAAAAAAAAATCTGTTAAATAAGATAGTTTTCAAGTCTTAAAATCATTATGCTTACTTTTCTATTAAATCCAGCGTTACTCCTGGTACCAATCTCACACTCTTCTGCATGCAAAACCTGTAGAGAAAAGAAGAGATCAGAAGTAAATCACACTAATTAAATACCTAAGGATATGGGTAATCCAAATGGTGTATGGCAGGAACAAGTCTCTCATTATAAATGGTTTTTAAAAAATGCAAGCAGCAGCAAAGGGTGTTTTTTTTGCTGCAGAGCAGGAAACAATACTTGCTGTACTCCTAACTGTGCAGTGGCCTCCATTATTGCCATGTCAAGTTTATATATTTTAAGAGCAACAGACATACATTTCCAACAGAGAGAAACATGTAATTATTCATTACAATATTAGGGAGCCACACAAAATAAAGCTGATCAGTGTGGCCCCTGCAAGTTTCAACAGCTTCACAACAGATGCCGAAGGTAAAAGCAACAGTAGGCAAGTCAACAAAAGAAATCTGAATAACTTTCCCTTTCAGTCTTAACAATTTAATCATTGACTTATAACCATTCATTTAATAACCATTCAGAGTTACCATGGTACTGAAAAAAGAGATTTATGACTGGTTTTCACACTTATGACCACTGCAGTATCCCGTGTCATGTGATCAAAGTGCAGGTGTCAGGGTTCCAAATAGCATCCAAAATTAAATCAGAGTCCAAAGCAAAGTATTGCTCAAAGTTCCAATTTATTAAGAGAGCCATGTTGGCACATCTGAGAAAACCAGAATCTGAAGGCTTCCCAGTTTTCCCACCTAGTTGAAAGTTCAAGATCTTCAAGATCACACCCACAAGTTCATCACATGGTCCATTCTCCCACTGCCATGCTGGCAGCTTCCACCATCCAATTCTGGTCAGGTGCAGAGGTGCAAAGACAAAGGATGACCTTGGCTTTCTAGAAAGAATTTTGTTATGGCTACATATCATCTAATTCTGTACAATTCCCCCTCCCACTTTCCCACAATAGAAAATGCATAGTAGAATAATAGAAAGTGTGGCAGGCCAAAGATCCAAAAGAAAAGATAGTAGCAGGCCTGACAGCAAGTGCTTGACAACTGACATGTGTTTATGGGTTGCACTATCCTGGGATCATGTGATCACCATTTGTTACCTTCTGAGAAGACTTTCGACAAGCAAAGTCAATTGGGGGAGTCAGATTTGCTTCATGACTGCATGATTCAATTAACAACTGTTGTGATTTTCTTAACAACTGCAGCAAGAAAGGTCATAAAGGCCAAACTCACTTAACAACTGCCTTGCTTAGCCATGGAAAGTTTGGGCTCAATTGTCGTCTAAAACTACCTGTACTCCGCTTATATAAGAGCCATCAACAGTGACCAGTTTAAGAAAGTAATAAACATTGGCCTGCAGCTGTGAATTACAGCAATCTTTCTTCCTTCTCCAGTCTGTTTCCATGTGTGCTTTATCATTCTTCCACTCTTTTTTCTTCCTATGCTTTTTCTCTGATGTTCCTTCTCTCTGGCCTTTTCTTCACTGTTCAGGAGCCCTTCCTCCAGGTAGTGCTTTAATTTTTCAGAAAAAGTGGCATTACAATGTATGTATATATGTGTGCAAACTAAAGGCTGAATTCAAGAGAAGGTATGCTGAACCCGGGCATACACAGAGCAAACCTGATCATCTTCTAACTCCCTAGCTTTCTGTTTTGAAATTCTAGAGACTTGTTCAGTTGCTGTGTCCTCATTTACAAATCAAAACAGCTCTGCTGCCATTGGGAATGGGAAGTCCTCCTGTGAACCTAGAATTTTTAAGTAGTTCTGCCACTTAACGTCTGTTTTACAACATTTCTGCATTGTGCTTTGATAATCATAAAATGTGATGTCCTTGACTAAGGAACATAGAAATCAGCCTGTTACTTTCTTCAGAGGACCATGTTCCTATAAAATTTGGAAGTGTGCTTTTATTTTATATTTATGCTAATTACTAACCCTTTTCTCTAATTAATCATCCAATTCAACCTTAACCCTAATATCACGTTCAACTTTTTTTGTCTTGTTTAACCAAACTTCAAATGCTATGAAATAGTTCTGTGAGTACTATGACAAGCTGGGAGCCATACTAAATGTTGAAGTGGAAGACGGAATACTCAAAGTTGTCTTACAATCATTTGTATTTTGTGCATCATACAAGCCTTCTTGCCGGGTAGATTTCTTTTTTTAAATGTCTCCAAGAATGAAAGGCCAGATTGGATATAGATAAGTGGAAGTGCGGTTAGATACTAGGGGGAAAAAAACCCCCAGTGATTTATGTGTTTTATATACAATTTTTATTTTAAGATGTTTTAATGTAAGCATCAGGTATCATTGTGTATTCATTCCTCTAAAATACTATAAATCAGATTTCTAATGTAAAACTGCAACTCTGCAATAAAATTAAATGAGTGTATTAGCAATGTTTGATTCTAAAGCCTCAATACTTAATCTTTCTGTTCAGCATAAATTTCCAGAAAAGAGATTAAATGAGGTTTAGCTCAGGTACATCTATTGTTGCGCTGTTACAAGCATCAGGAAACTTGAAGGAGGATCTAACAACAGAGCTCCAGGTTGGCATGGCTGGAATGCAGATTATGGATTTCATGCAGATTTCCTTTTCTGCCATCTTTGTATTCTTGAGTAGTAACTTGACAAAGAAATTTAATTCTGCCACAACAAATGGAATGTTGGGGTCCAGAGATGCCTACTCCGATATATTTGCAAGAGGGGGGGGGAAATCACTTTTCTGACCTCATTCTACAATGAGTCAAAGCCCAAATGAGAAATTTGATATCCTATCGGAACCAGTTTCCATTCTGGAGATTTGAGGAGGGTACTTGGCATTTGACTAGATATTTTCTTGGCCATGGCCTTTCATGGCTAATTTATTCAAGCTGAAAATGACTGACTGGACAGATCTGAAGTATGGTAAATTAATTTTTGTAGTAAGGATCACAATGCTAGATATACAGAAAGAGATAAGAAGTCCACTCTGAACTTATTAACTCCCTGATAGTCACTGTATCCCTTCTTAAATAAAGCACTCAAGATGATAGTGCTGAAAATCTCCAGGTGCTTTTGGAAAAAAGTGATTATCTAAACCCAATCCAATGTGATGAATAGCTCCTACAAGAGCCAGGATGAGTGTGATCTTATTACTTCATCTTATACTTCCAACAGCTTTTGGGATTGTCAATTATTATATTATTTTGCATTGGCTAGGAGTTATTGGGAGTTATTGAACTCCTAGCTACTCTGCTATAGTCAAAGGAAAGCGATGGAGAACAATAACGTGGAAATTAAGCTAAACAAAAAAATAACATATCCACATAAAAAAACAAGCATAAGAATCATCTAGAAAGCCCTCTGCCAAAACAATATCTGCAAAATATCTTTTACAGATGTTTGATGATAAAAATCAATATCAATGGACAGTTTGCACTGCAAATTCTGAAACTTATGCAGACTTCAGGTTAGAGTGAAAGAGGAACATATAATCATAAATAATTCCAGTTATATCCTGGATGATGATGATCCAGCTTTCTAAAAACCAAATGGATTCTGTCATTAACTGCAGGGGTTGGTTATAACAATGAAGGGCAAGGAAAACCATTTGTTTGTTTATTTGTTTAATAAATGTTTATGGAAATTCATCTACCAAAAGGAATTTGGGCAGTGAATACAAATAAAAACACAATGCAATTACTGAAAAACATTAAAACAAGTAAGACAATGCTGAGACCCCAATAAAGTTCATATTTGTAGGCCAAAAGCACTATCCAGCTCCATTAGCATTCTGAACCCAGTGATTGTGGGAGAAGCCAGATCTTCATGGCTCCCCTGAAGGTCAATGGGATCAGGCAATCCAGAGAGAGGCTATTTCATCAAAGCGGGTGCCATGACCATGAAGGCAAACTTCCAAAATCCTGTCACTGTTTTACTGAGGGGAGC